GCGGTGGGGGGGGGGGGGGGGGCGCGGCGCTGTGAGGGGGGCGGGCGGTGCCCGGGGCCGGCCGGTGGCGGGGGGGGCTCCTTTCTGGCGGGCCCGGCCCGGGGCGGCCGGTCTGTGGCGATAGGAGCCGGAGGGAGGTCCCCGCCTGGGGCCGGTGAGGGGAGTGCGGCGCCCGCCCTGGGTCTGGGCCTGCTGAGAAACCGGGGCCCGGCGGGGGCGGCCCCGGGGCTGCGATCCCGGCCCTGGGGGCGGCGGCCCTTCCTGTGTGTGCGCGTCCCCTGCGCGCCCCCGCGGCTGCTGACGGGATCCCCGCGGTCTGGGGCTGCGGTGACACCGTCCCTGCCTCGCCCGGTGTCGGCAGAGGTGTGTTACCCCTCCCGCTGCCCTCGGAGCTCCGGGGTGGCAGTGGGTTGCGCTGCTTAAAATTGTCCTGCCTGCCTGGTGTAGCTGTGCGAGTGCCCTAAACCCCGGGCTTAAAGGGGTGTGCTGCTGAAACCGCCTTCCTGACAAGGTACCTCACAAAATGTCACTTTCTCGGTGTAAGTAATTTGCATCCAAAGTTAGTGGTGTAGCTTTTTCTTTGCCCGTATTTGTATTTTTTAAAATGGTGGTTAAAACTGCTAATCACTTTGGCAGACATCAGACGTACAGACACATGGACCACTGAACAGCTTCAGGGCTGTGTGCTCCATCTAACTTTTTCTTGTTGTTAGAAAGGGGAAGGCCTTTTCTAGTGAGGGGGTGCATATGCCTCGCCTTGCTTTTGCAATATAAAAACACCACTAAGTCTTATGAGTAAGTGTCATTTTTGTGGAATAAGAAGTAGAAGGTCGTCATTTTGTAACATCCTTTTGTCTTAACAAATAATACTCTTGCCTAAGACAGTCTTGCAACTTCTGTCGCTGTGGACTGTAGTTCATGTACCTGTTGCTGATGCTGTTGAAGTTGTGTGTAAACACAAATTATTCTGTTGATTCTAGTCTAACATTTCTGATGACGTTTTGTCAGCAGCACATCAAGCTATTAATGAAGCGACCTCCTTGGTAGCTCTCTTCACGCTATCCTCTTGGCTTCAAAACTATAAAATAGTCTGTTTTCCAGCAACTCTGCACTTGTCTTCATCTTGCATTTGCAACAGAGATGGAAGAAGACATTTGTAAGGATGAGCTTTCTTTCCCATTTGCAGGGGTCTGTAACGAAGCGGTAACATTTGATCCTCAGCCTGTGATGGGGCTGGGTTATAGAGAGAACTGTAAGAACCTGAGTTTCTCTTTTACTGCACAATGACTTTAGAACATCCTTTTAGCACTTAGAACTTGGTCTTCTTTGCAAAGGCTTCCTTGAATTCTGTAGCAGTAAATGCCACATAAACACTTCTTTGAATAATGTCACAGCCAGACTACGTTAAGGAACTTGTTTTGGGAATCTTTAAGCTGAGCAGTTTATTCCTAACAGTATTCCAGTCCCATCATCCCCAGCCTGGACAGATGACCTAATAATGATAAAAAACTGAAACAAACCCCAGGTTTGGTTTTCATTTGCAGACTCCTGGAGCCCTTCCTGCTTAGGGATGGCGACATTTGAACTGTAAGAAGGACACTAGGATTTTCAAAAGGCCTTAAACTCCTAAAGTGTTAAAGGAGAGGTAATTATTTGGCTGCTCAAAGAAGAGTAGACAAGAGGAAAAGCTCCCTTCTTCCTTATTGCTCTACCAAAAATAGAAATATGAGTCACTTCAGTGCTGAAGCTTAGTAGTGTGGGTGTCTGCATATATTGTCACAATAACCTAATTTCTTAGTAATTTAAGACTAGCTAATCCCATAGCGATGGGGAGATGGGAGGAGTGATCTAATAAGTCTCTCCCAGTTGTAACTTCCATGAGTGACCGTGATAAAGCCAACATCTGCAGTGTTTCTGAAACGGGCTTCCCTTACTCTGTTTTGAGTGATACAATATTTTTCTATTGGATGCTTTTGTCAATTTTTGTTTTTAAATTAAAGAATAAAGAAACAGTATAACCCCCAAAGCGGAAGGGCCATATTGCATGATGTTCTCCGTTGTTTTAAAACAGAATACTCTGTTTTAAAACAGAGTAAAACAGTTCTGTTTTAAAAGGGAACTCTTCAGGTTCCTAATTTCAAGCTGGCACAGTCCTGATTTCAGGTACTTTTCTAATGCTTTCAGAAGGACCTTAAAGTGCTTTACAGAACTGAACAGACAAAGCACCATAACAAGTTACCATACTTGAAAGTCTGTGTATAAATTGCTGACAAGTTTCTCTTTCATCACTGCTGTAGTCTAAAGCTAGTTTGGAAACTGAGGTGTATTTTGGTGTTGAAACACTTGGCTTATTCATTTCGTCTCCTTTAGTGGACTGAAGTGCTTGGCTGTAGGTCCCCGTGAGTGGTCGCAGGATTCCATGCTCTCTTAGGGCTTTAGACAATTTAGTGTTGCAGTTTCTGGATCTTAGGCCCCAAATCCTGCAGACCTCTTTATGTCAGCATGTGGCATCTTCCAGGACAATCATTCATGTAACCCTTCCTTTTTCTTTGGTTTTAGAAAAGCAAAGGAAATTCACTGTAACCTCTCTGGGACTGTCGGCAAATAGTACTTTTACTGTCGGAAGAGGCACAACCGAGGGCTACAGTAATAATTCTGTAATAATTCATTTACTTTTTTAAAAAAATAATATCTGAGTTGCCTTCAGTCAGTGGCTCTTTGACAGCACATCTTAAAATGCCATGTGAACTTCCCTCCCGTGGAAGGAAGGGTACCTGGTCCTGCCGTGATTCCCACCCCTGGCAGCCCCTCCCCAGCTCTCTCCTGCAGAGGAGCTGCCAAGCTGCAGCTGAACTGTGTGATCCCACTGGGAAACACTGGGCTCCAAAGCTGCTCCTGTAACCTGGAATTGAATGAGTAACAGTAATCTTCCTGCATGATTTTTCTCATTTGGCTTGGGGATTGCGATGACTGAGACCTTCCTGTCTCTCTGTGTTACTGGCTGTACGGGGAATATCGCAGTGAATCGCATTCCCCGGTTCTGGTGTATTGTCTCCAGTTCAAAACGTAGATATTCCCAAGACATTAAAGGCAGCCCACATCTTAGTCACGAGGTGAGCCCCGCGGAGAAGCTGTAGTGATGCTACAGGAAATGCAGTGTCTGTGTTTGATTGCACTCCGTTTGGGTGACGCTGGTATTAACCCAAGTAAAACTTTACGGTGCCCTCTTATTTCAGAACAGTTCCAGCATCCCTCTCTGTCTCTCCTGGAATTGCAATATTGGGTTAGAAAACAGTCGCTGGAAAAACAATTGTATAGATACACGCTGCAGCTACCAGAAACAGATCAGTTCTCATCCCGTACAGTGTTATTTTATGTAGAGAGAAATGTTTCCATTGAAATTAGCTTTCTAATTACCCCAGTGACTATACTGCACGAGGTGGCAGCTTATCAGTGCTGGCATTTCAACACAGTGTGCTCTTCTGTGTTTGACTGACAGCAAGCTAAGGAGTCATGCACTGAGACGGGGGAGGTAAAAGGCATATAGTTCATTTAAAAGCATTTCTTTCAGTATGTTTACTAATATTTCTATAATCTGTATACTCGTTAACCACTCTCTCCGTGTGTTTAAATATGTAAACAAGAACTTTTTGCACTTAATTGATTACAACATCTTGAACAGGGTGAAGTTTTCCCTGTGAGTATTTTGGGCTGGGAGAGTAGGGTTTTGTGTGTGTTTTCTTCGCCGTTTGGCTAACGGCTGTACTGCTGGGACAGCCCAGTGTCCTGGGGCTGTGACTCGGCTGGTAGTGACTATATGTAAAATAAGAGGGTTAATTTGTTTCCTTTCTACATTGAAGGGTGCAGAGGTGGGTCTTGGGGTCATTTTTCCTTTGTATGTGTGAGTTCAGTGAATAGGAACCCTGAGGATGCTGCCAAACACACACACACACCCCTCATAAGGTACTGGTCTGTAAAGCAGAGGAGGTGTGTGACACCTTTTGTTGTTGTTGGGTTTTGGTCAGTTGAAAGGGTTTGTGTTTGGTTGGTTGTGTGTTGTTGTGGGGTTTTTTTTTTGGTTATTGGTTGGTTGTTTTTTTTTAATGGTCCTACTTGGAATGAAACTCTTGAAGTATTAAAAAGCAATCTCAAATTGTCTACATTGTTTTTCTCAAACTGTGGAGTTTTAAAACTAATAGTGTTGCCAAGATCAAGTTTATTATGTGGTTTTGTATTGTTATGTGAGAACATTGATTTTTTATTTATTTATTTATTTATTTTTATTTTTTATTTCTGGCTTATAAAAACCAACCAAACAAAAAGATGTCTCCAGCTGTATTGTTTGTTCTGACATCTTAACTTGCAGCGAGATACGAGCCGTGGAGGACGTGTATTCAGTGCTGCTCGCTCTTCAGGGAGCATGTGCAGTTTTTTAATTGAGCTTATATTAAGCTAATCGTACACAAACCACAGCCAGTTAGCTCCTGTCTTGGGAGTGGCATTGCTGGCTGTTTGTGAACCATTAACACCAGGAATGCCTCAAACACTCTCTTGCAGTGTGAGCTTTTTTGCCATTGCTCCACAGCGAACCAGCCTGGTCTGGTGTGGGCCACCTGGCCATGGGCAAACAGTTTGGAGACCTGATGTTTAGAGCAAAGGCTTCCTTCCCCCACCCATCCTGTGATTTTTGGGTATTGAGGTTGGGGAAGGGGTACATTTAGACATAGTTCCTTGATTTTTACTGGGGGGGGGTGTGTGTGTTCAAATCATTGCAGTCACTGCTGCGCATGAGAATAAAACCAGGCTAATTTGAATATCTTTGTTCCAGTACCTCAAAGATCTTAACTGGCTTTTTGATATAGTGCATATAAATTGTGTAGCAACTGATCTTCTGTCAGTCTGCCTCCAGCGACTGTAGCTGCTTCTTAATGACTTGTAATTGATCTAACTTCACACTGGCGTTTCTTTATATTAGTAACAGCACTCACCCATTAGTGAGCAAAACAGCAGGACAGGATACTGGTGGTTTGATGGATTCCACTAAAAAGGCACGTGCGTAATTCTGTACTTAAAAGTAACTAAAAATAATTTTCCAGAGTATTTTAATTTGGCTTTTGAATCATTCCCTGGTTTAGATTTAAGCTATTGGCAGCTGACAGTAGCAGACTCTCATTAGAGCAGTCTTAAAAACTGTGTTTGAGAAGCTCTCTGCTGTGGAAACACGGGCAGTGGATCATATTTGTGTAGTCGTAATCACAGTGTAAGCTCAGATGTAGTAAGAAAGGAGGGGTTTGCTTCGTAACGTCTGTTGGGCCATAAAAGTTAAAATGCAGGTTTCCTTCCCTCTGTAGCGCATGGCATAGGACACAGATGGGTTGGGAACTGCTCTCCTTTCCTTCCATTGTTTCTCATCTGTCTGAAGAGAATACGGAGAACTTCCTGCTTCCAGTAGAGGCCAGGGCAGAGGACAACTTCTCTACGCGGTTTTCACTTGCGATCACTAACAGAGCCTGCAAGTGGTCTTTGGCTTGAGTTTAACAGTGCAGTTACTGAGTAATGCTCTCTTAACCCTCTGGCTCTTGCTTAGTTCCTGAGCATATCTCACAATTACAATATATGTGTATATATATGTGCTTTTTACTACAGGATGCTTTGCATGCGGAATGGAAAATGGATTCCGAGTTTATAATGCAGATCCACTCAAAGAAAAAGAGAAACAAGGTAAAATGCTTACTTCTTATACCGTGCTAGTTCTGTGTTGGAAACTCAGCCTTCTCATTTGTTCTCTGCAAGATTCTTGCTTAGCTTTCACCATTCCATCACTGGAGGGCTTTGAATAAAGGGCCTTGAGGAAGGAAGTCCATGCTGGTCCCAAAGGGACTCTCACTTGTGCCACTGCCTGGTCAGATCTCTGTATGCTGTTAATTCACACAAAGCTGGCTGAAGATGGATTTGTCTCACCTTCTGGCAGAGCCTGAATTGTGTGAGCTGTTGCTGATGTCTGTGGTCCAGAATAGGTGATAAGTTGCCTGGTTGTTCACAAGTGGGAGAAGAGTTGCTCACTGCAGTGGTGTTACATACCATCAAGAGAAGTTGTTCTGTGCTTGCGCAGCGATCTGGATGCTCTAGTGCAGCAACAGAACTGCTGGAGATCTGCACACAACATTTCTCATACACTTAGAGTATTGCTTGCAAGAGCACTGTGAGCTCAGACCTCTAATACTCCAAATTTTATATTCTCTCTGTGCTTAAAAAAACTGGGAGAATCTTAAGGTGTTAAACCTAATACTGTGAAACAGAAATGACTGTGTGAGCTGTACTAACAGGTAGTAGGGCTTTTTATCAGGAACCAAACGGAACTGAGTCAAAATAAGGGAAAATGAAACCCAGCCATGTGATTCTAACCCAAATATAGGAAGAAAGCTGCCATGCTTAACAGGTTTCCCAGCACGTCCAGCCTGTGGTGATAGAAAGGATTTAATAAGAACAAAAATCTATTTAAAATAGCAATTCCTATGAAACCAGAAACCAGGCACACTTTCACTTTCTAGTGCTGTAAGAGATTTCAGTCCCTGGTCGTGTGGCCAAAGCTGACAAATTGTTTTCTATTCTTAATAGTAAATTCTGCCATAAGCAACGTGTCTTGGGAGTATCCTCTGGGATAGCGTGCTGCAGGGATCAGAACTCAGGCTGAAGTCCTGTTGAGTTCCTTGTCCAAACTGTCCCTTGCAGTAGCTCTGGATGGACTGCCAGTGATGTTTCTGATGAGCCAGATTGCCTTTCCCCTGTGGATCCGAGAGGTCAGGCTGCACTGGCTGCAGAGGCACACAGAGAAATCTTGTTCATCTTTCAAGTATATTTAAACCTACCTGAGAGAGTCTCAGTTGGAGCTTGTCTGTCTGATTGACTGATGTCTGTAACCCAGTGTGAAACCAAGTCTTAACTATTAAACTTTGGCTTCTCTGTCTGACATCCAGGAGCTCCATGGAGTTCCCCATCCAGACATCACCTGTCAGAAATGTAAAGATAATGGTTAGAGCGTCTGTTCTAACAGATAGAGAACACATTGCCCTTTCTTAAATTATCTCAGCTGTCAGAAATGTAAAGATAATGGTTAGAGCATCTGTTCTAAGAGATAGAGAACATGTTGCGCTTTCTTAAATTCTCATGTTATCATTCATAAATATTTTGAGGCTTTTTACTGTGGTGATAATACCTCATCATATCAAAACGTGCTCTCACGCGTTTAAAACGCTTTATTGGAGTTAAGAGGAGGACCTGGTGTGGAAGGAGGGGATGTCCAAATAGAGCTGTTGAGGCAGGAAACGTGGCAGTCAGAAGTGTTAAAGAAGCCACAGACACTTGTATGAAATCCCAGGCTTTACTGCTCCAGTGTGACTCTTTCCAGGCATCTCCCTTCAGCGTTGTGTAGTCAATTCCCAACATAAATTCCTCAGTGCAGTGCTCCTTAATGTCTGACTGCATCTCCCTTCTCCTGTCCTTCATCTCTCCATTGTAGTGCTTCCTCCCAGCTCCTCAGACATTTTTCCTGTTTTCTCCCATCCCCATTTCTATAGACCTTGTGAAATTGCAGCTTTCCCTGTAGCTTTGAAATGGTTTATTAGTTTTATGCACCTTTCCTGCCTCAGCCTGCCAGTGTGCGTGGGGGTTGGACAGTCTTTAAGGAGAAGCTTGTTTTTAACTCTGCTCATTTACCTTGAAGGCCACAGTTACAGCCTCTCTCCTGACGGTTCAGTTCCTCTCCCCAGCAGAATCCTGAGCATCCCTCTAAGCTGTGTAACCAAAGCCAAACCCCCACTTAAATGTCATCAAATAGAAAAATTCCTTTATTATAAAATTATCCCCTGGTTGATATTTTGCTCCTCCACTTGCACCATAAGCATGGCATCTTATCCGACTTCCTCTGCAGCTGAGATTCTTAAAAAGAAAAAAATCCTTTTCCTTGCTCTATAAATGGGACACTGTCTGTCCCAGCTGATCCGTCCTGATCTGTCCCCGAGACCGGGGCTGGAGCTGCTCCCTGCTCCTTGCCTGTTCTGGCAGCTACTGGTGTGCTCCAGAGAACAGCACTGGAGTCCAGTTCAGTTACATAGATGCACGTTTTGCCACCTTTCCTCAAATCCATCAAGTTTATAAAGACAATTTCCCTTGCAAATAAAAAGGTTCCTGACTATAAATACCATATTGGTATTTTTCTAAATACAGAGCATTAGCATAACAGAGCAACACTGGGCTTGAAGGGGGGGGTGTGTGTCTGTCTGTGTGAGGGGAATGAATTTGAGCAAACTGGACAGTCTAAAATATTTACAGACCCGCTGTAGGATAGAAATTATCAAGCTACTGTGATGATATCGCTTGATCTTTTCTCATGCGGCATGTCGTAATATATAACTTTAAAACCTTGCCATGTTTTTTCTATATGTGAAAATAAGGCCTCTCCCAACTGTGTGATGACAACAAGAGTCATCTTCATTGCTATAAAAAATTAAACAACTTTGCTGAGAATCCTAATCTTAAGCACAAAAAAAAAATAAGTAAAAAAAAAAAAAAAAGCCCAACTCCAAACGAGCAACTTTGCTGAGAATCCTAATCTTAAGCACAAAAAAAAAATCAGTAAAAAAAAAGCCTAACTCCAAAACCCCTACCCTTTTAGTCAGGATTTCTTGTCTGTCACCCATCTTCTTAGAAAGTTCTGTTTTTGAGGTCAGCCAGGGTAGGGAGATACTGTTCTTCTCAGGTGCCTGAGAGAAGTGCTAGACAGGGCAAACTTTTCATCTAACAGTGGTAAAAATGAGATCATGTTTTACCAGGTCCTGACACTTTCAAATAAAATATATTTGTCTTTCAGAATTTCTAGAAGGTGGTGTTGGCCATGTCGAAATGTTGTTCCGTTGCAACTACTTAGCACTAGTAGGTGGAGGAAAAAAGCCCAAGTACCCACCTAACAAAGGTGAGTCTTGAGAAATAGATCTGGTAAACGTTTGCCTGGTGTCTGTGTGAGACTGCCCAAAGAGCACCCAAACCAATGGCTTTGAGCTGGGCTCGGGCACTCTGAAGCCTGGATGCAGGGGATGTTGCAGCAGGTTTAAGTAAAGGTGGTGAAATGCCTTGTCCTGCTGCTGTTAGTGTCACCAGGCAGGTCCCTGCAGGGACCAGTCTCCGAGACCTGGTGACAAAGTCTGTCCTTCCCACAGGTAGCTTTGCAGAGAGACTCCGTGGCTCAGCAGCCTGGGGGGAAAAGGTCCTGGCTGGGAAATATACTGGTTTTGGGTGGGGTTTTTTTGACTGCTGCTTTATTTCTTTGATAACCCTCAGAGCAAAACAAAAAAGCTGATTGTATTTGGAAAAATTATTTTTATTGTCAGCTGCTGTGGTTTATGAGCTCCTACCTGCAGGAGTCATGGTGTGAAGGGCTGGGGTCCCTCCGTTGTAGCTGAACACCTTGTGGTGAGCAGGACAGCAGTCTGTAATGCTCAGCTGTCGGATGCTCCTCTTCAGTAGCCTTCTTGGAAACTAGAAGTTGGTCTCACGGAGACAATGTGGATCTTCAGCTATGCCTTGGTGATCTAACACAATCTCTGCTCTGTTGCAGTAATGATCTGGGATGACCTGAAGAAGAAGACTGTCATCGAGATAGAGTTTTCTACAGAAGTCAAAGCAGTTAAGCTGCGAAGAGACAGGTAGGTAACAACAAAGGTGTTCCAAATTCACAGCTTGGCTTTAGACACTGTTCTTATTCATTTCCAGCAGTTTGTAGAAAGAAAAAAGATCCTGCTTTAAGACCTCGATAAACAAAAGGAGCAACTCAAGGTAAAACAGACTTTTGGGGGCACACACCAGGTGTTAACAGCTCAAGTGTACTGGTATCTGACACTTTGGTGAAAAGCCTGTAAGACTTTCTGGCCACCCAATGCAGGGAAATGTTCTTGTGGCTGCTGCAGACTTTTTCCAGGTGTGGAGGAGTGTGAGAGGAATTCACGTGGATCTCTAGAGCAAGAGCATCTCTCAGCAGCTGGAGCCTGTGGGTGTGTGGGCGGAGGGGTTCTGCTGTCGCAGCGTTGGATAAAAGTGCTTTGCCGGCTCATCGCCGCGTGGTTTTTTTTGCAAGGCTGGGAGTCTGTGGTGGTGTGTGTGGGTGGGGAAGAACACGGCCATTAAATCAGTTGAATCAGTTGAAGCCTCTGCAGCTCTGAACTGAGACGTACGTCCCAGTTTCCCCCACCCCGAGTCACAGGACCTTCTTGTCTCTTTCAGAATCGTGGTTGTCTTGGACTCGATGATTAAAGTCTTCACCTTCACACACAATCCCCACCAGTTGCACGTCTTTGAAACCTGCTACAACCCTAAAGGTGAGTTGTCTGTGTGGGCTGGGGAGGGGAGGAGTTTATTCTGTTCCTGACATGCTATTTATCCTTATCTGCCTGAATTAGTTTCGTTTAGTAAGTTGTTAAACAGTTTACATACTGCACTATAGTCATGCCCTTTGGAGGTGCTTTTGGGTTTTATAAAATGGTTATTAAGATTTATTAATATTTGGCGTGGAAAAGCTTTTTCACGTACTTCTGTTATAGATTTGATTTCTGTGCTTTCTTCTGTAAAGAACCTGTAAATTTGATAGATTTTGTGCTGAAAGCTTAATTATGAACACAAACTATTGAAGTGCATCATTCCTCCTAATAGAGCTAGAACCGTCGAGCAAACTGTTCTCTGCAGTGTCAAAAAGAGCCTAATTAGCAAACTGATACTGTTCTCTTTAAATAGCAAGGTAGGGTTTTGTGTGGTGGAGAACAAGGGCTGGTGGCCATGCTTGATATCTCAGGAGGGTCAGCTTGTACATCAGGAAGGTGTTTTCACCACCAGGAGGTTCCTTAGGCCCAGAGTCCCCATCTTGGGAGGTTCTGAAGCAAAGGTTGGATGTGGTGGCTGTGTGGAGGACAGCCCAGCCCAGGCACAGGTTGGACATCCTGAGGTACCTTGGGGCTGCTGGGCGTGCGGTGGAAGGTGCAGCAGGAGGATGTTGTGTTCCTTGTGACACCCACCCCTTGCTCCGCCAGCTCTGGGCTGAGTTTGCAGGAATTTGTATCCACAGAGCACCCAGGAGAGATGCCATTTCCCTGAAATGTCTGCAGAAAGTTACCAAGAAAAAAAAAAGTGCCATAAGAACCAAGTCCAAACATGAATTAATACCAGTTGGTTTTACTGATGGATGAGAAACGAAACTATCACCTATTTATAAACTCTTACCTTTTTCAAGCTGCTAAGGAGACCTTTTTTTATTTATTGTTTTTAAATAACTTTGCTGTAACAGGCTGATGGAGCTGATCTCTGGAAATGCCCAGACTTTGGATAACCCCTACCAGACTTCTTTGAAACAGGAGAGAAAGTTAAAATTCTGCTACTCCCCTATTTCCCTGTGCTCAGCACTTAAGGACAGATCACGTTTTGGGATACTGCAATAGCCATTAAAATGAAATTCTGATTTGCTACACGTATGTTTGTTTATTCTGAAATTACTGATATTTTAGAAACTTGTGTTTGAAAGCTTTGTTAGGTTACAGAAACTATACAGTTATTCTCTCTCCTTTTTTTTTTTTGTCTTTTAGGTCTCTGTGTCCTTTGTCCAAATAGTAATAATTCCCTTCTTGCATTTCCTGGAACACACACTGGGCACGTGCAGATCGTGGATCTGGCTAATACAGAAAAGCCTCCTGTGGACATACCGGCCCACGAGGGAGTCTTGAGCTGTATAGCTCTGAACCTGCAGGGAACAAGAATTGCAACAGCATCAGAAAAAGGAAGAATCCTTTCCTCCTCTCTCTGACTGACTGTGTGTTCCAGTGTAGGAACTCCTTCTAAAATCTGAAGCTGCGTCCTTTTGTGGGAAAGACATGGAAATACTTCACTGGGAAGTCTGGCACTGCGATACACATTTGCAGTCTGTCTGTCTGTCTGTCCTGCTTCTCTAGGATCCCCAAACAACAATCCAAATGTAGTGCTTGTTTCAGCTGACTGTAGCAGTGACTCTTCAGTGATACTTGAATGAGATGTGGCCCTAGTAGTTCACATGTTCTTCAATAAATACTATTAATTTTAAAAATAAAGGGGGCAGGGGAAAGCTTATTTGCATTCTTTGACCTTTATTATTTTCTGCTTAAATTCACTTTAAAACCACTGGCTAAAGAAATATTTGCAAAGAGGTCTGTCATACTGGAGGAGCTGGTTCTGCTCTGGCTGAAGTCCTGACACAGACTGGGAGGGAGGTGACTGCCTCGTACACACACTGCAGAGGTTTTCCTGCAGAGCGTAAATGAGAAATTGATTCTTGCATTATTTACCAAATTCTGTGTGGTTGCGTGTTACTTAGGGCTAAAGAATGCAATAAGCTGACAAAAACCTGCACAGTATGAGCCCCCTCGGGCTGGGCTGGTGCAGAGAGGTAGAAAGAATGTGAAGTCTTAGACCTGCCTTCCCTGTGGGAGCTTCAGGGAAGGCTGCTCAGGAGCTTCATGTCCCAGAGGAGCTTCCAGCGTCCCCAGGAACCCGAGGGAGATGGGGAGGAGGCAAGTTGAGCACTCCCTACCTTCTTGCACTCCCCTGAAACCAGGATCTCAAGGACAAGCCAGATTAATCCAGCTGGTCTCTGTTTAGAATAGTTTCTGCTGCACAGCCTACAGCTCAGAAAGCTTATAAAAAGAAAACACACCCATAGTCTCTCTTAACTAAGCTTAATTATTGTACATCTTCTAAGCAAAGTTCTTGAATGCCAGCTCCGTTGTTAAATAGCGTAATAATCTGCGGGGTTTGTAGTGAGACATTCTTTTTTTTGTGTAGAGAGTAAATTCAAGCAGTGTTGTCAGACAGAAATGGGAGTAGGGGCAAACTGCTGCACTGACCATACACCTCAAGCTCCTGTCTTAAAACTAAGCTGATGTTTACCCCAATCTTTCTCCGTGGGCTCTGTTCTTTACTGGTGTGCAAGGGGAGAGATGTATTTGTTAACTGGGAGCAGGAGGATGTGCACAAACATACTCTTGTGTCCAACACCAGGGCCACACTAGTGCTTTATCCAAGGCACCATGGGTGAAACTTAATTGAGTAGCAAAGGAACAGGATTGTATACAAAAGCATTACAGCATTGTGATGGTGCAGGGGAGAAATTGATATTCTCCCTAAAAACCATCATTAAGAGTGGTTCTCTCAAACCTACTGAGATGAAAAGCCCGATTGTGTATGTTGGGGCACCTAAACACTGGTCAGACAGAGGGCCACACTAGTGCTTTATCCAAGGCACCATGGGTGAAACTTAATTGAGTAGCAAAGGAACAGGATTGTATACAAAAGCATTACAGCATTGTGATGGTGCAGGGGAGAAAGTGAAATTCTCCCTAAAAACCATCATGAAGAGTTGTTCTCTCAAACCTACTGAGATGAAAAACCCAATTGTGTATGTTGGGGCACCTAAACACTGGTCAGACAGACTTCTAGGATGCATTCATTTTAGGGTGTAAAGAGGCTCTGCCTTTCCTAATATGACACTTGATTCCTTTTCAAGGGGACCCTCATAAGAATATTTGATACTTCATCAGGGCATTTAATCCAGGAACTACGAAGAGGATCACAGGCAGCCAATATATACTGGTATGTTTAATTACTCCTGCTTTGTCTCCTGGTGGGTGGTGCTGTGCTGAGGCAGCCTAGACTTCTAGGATGCATTCATTTTAGGGTGTAAAGAGTCTCTGCCTTTCCTAATATGACACTTGATTCCTTTTCAAGGGGACCCTCATAAGAATATTTGATACTTCATCAGGGCATTTAATCCAGGAACTACGAAGAGGATCACAGGCAGCCAATATATACTGGTATGTTTAATTACTCCTGCTTTGTCTCCTGGTGGGTGGTGCTGTGCTGAGGCAGCCTGGGGCACAAGGCAGAACCCTGGGCAGAAGGAGGGGCAGAAGGGGGTCCTAGCACTGCTCGGTGTGGTGAGGAGAGGGCAGCAGCCACCAGCTGGGTGAGCCTGGCACAGGTTAGAGGGCTTGGGGCAAAAAATGTGGATATTGATAAGCTGCTTCTCTGCGGAGAACAAACAGTAGCTGGGGGGATACTTGGACTTCACACGGAGCCACGGGGGATGCAGTGATGCAGCCCAGCACTGCCCAGGGATGGGATGAGCTACCCGGAGGCGAGTGGAGTGTTAATTACAACAGAGTAGAGTGTTAATTACAACACAGCCCTGCTTCAGCTGCTGCAGGCGAGGAGCTGGGGAGGAGGATGGTGTACACCAGTAGATACTGCAACTCTCTGTGTTCTCTACAGTATCAACTTCAACCAGGATGCTTCCCTAATCTGCGTATCCAGCGACCACGGCACAGTACATATTTTTGCTGCAGAAGACCCTAAAAGAAATAAGCAGTCAAGGTAGGGTTTGAGCCTTTCTGGAGCCTTTGGGGAGGCCAAGGGGGGTGTGATGTGCCCTTTAAATAGTTTAAAAGACTGCTCTTGTCAAGCAGCAGCCAATACCTGCGCTGCTGGAGGTAGGGAGATGGATCTGCTGTGACTGAGTGAAGCTGCAGATTTAGGACTAACAGGAACTGCCACGTTTCTGCTGTCCCTCGTGGGGCTGTACAGTTCCAGCAGAAACATAGGATGGGGCTTTAATGGCTCTCTCTTAGCATGACCAGACTTTGTGGACACTCCACATTAAGCAGTCTCTACTGAAAATCAATCCTTTCAGCAGTTTTTGCAGTCACAATAAAGCCAGAAAGGTGGCTGTAGGGTCCCCCTTCCCTAGAAGGGAAATAGTACATATTACCTGATTATTAGTAGAAGAAAATAAAAAGCCAATCAAAAATAGCAGTTAGTGTGACCCCTGCAACTTGTTTAAACGTGCCACACGTTCTAAATCGACTCTCATCAACACCTCACTAAGTTGTTATGCCTCTTTTTTTTTTTTTTTTTCTCTTTCAGTTTGGCCTCTGCCAGCTTCCTCCCCAAATACTTCAGTTCCAAATGGAGTTTTTCCAAATTTCAGGTTCCCTCAGGCTCTCCGTGCATTTGTGCCTTTGGAACAGAGCCAAACGCCGTCATAGGTGAGTACTGGAAGCTTCCTTGGGTTGTGTCTGGAGAACCAGGTCTTGCACTGCCCTGGCTGAGCTGGGGGAGCGCTGAGATGGGACACGGTCTCTGTCCCTGTTGGCCAAGGCCAGGAGTTGTTGCTGCTTTTCCCTGGGGGTGAGATCAGGCCGTGCCTGGAAGGTGCGGTACGGGGCTGACTGGCACCACACGGGGACCAGCCTCCCTCAGGTTCCTCCAGAGCATCCCTCTGGCTGTTCCCTTGGCTCCAGAGCTCAGTTGAAGCTGTAGCTGAAGGACCAGAGTGGAACCCAACCTCTGGAACAGCCCAACTTACCCTGACTGTGTTTGTGTTTCAGCGATATGTGCCGATGGCAGCTACTACAAGTTCTTATTCAACCAAAAAGGGGAATGCTCAAGGGACGTCTATGCTCAGTTTCTAGAAATGACGGACGACAAGCTCTGACTGAGCTGAGGGAGCGCGTGGGTCAAAGCACTGCCTCGGCTATTCCACACCTTTGGAAGGACAGTATATGAATGTCCAATACTGATCAAGAAGTTTAGCAGACCTCACTGAGAAGCCTGGCCCAACGTGATCAGAACAAGCTCTGAAGTAATGGACTACGTATGTTTATTCTCATTTCTGCAAGTATTCATCATTAAAAATCTCTTTGGGTTACTGTCATCAACTCAAGTTTTCAAGATGTGGCTTTCAACAAGCTTGTGCCTATTGGGTTTCTCTTAATCTAAACTGTGAAATGACTTCAGATTAAACACCAGTGCCTGCCGCACGGACCGATCCGCAGGGGGCCACACCAGTGTACAGCCGGCCTTAGGAAAAGGGATGTGAAAACAGAAGATTTTAGGCATTGCTTTACTTCCACGGAGTGGCTGGGAGTGGGAGGGAATACTCTGGCTCACACCAATAACCTCCCCGGGGTGGCTGGGAGCAGGAGTGCTGCCTCCCCCCTCCCCAGCACGGCTGGGAGCGGGAGGAGAGGAGAAGCGCGGAGCCACAGGAGACTGTAGCTCGAACCACACTCATCCTCCCAGCTGGTGCGGGGGCTGGGGGTGCCATGGCCACAGGCTGCTGCTCACCTACCCCTACCCACGGTGATTGAGCGATCAGCGCTAATTGTCAAAGGTGCCAAACTGCAGACAGCAGCCAAAGGCACAGTGGGGCACTGGCTGAGCCAGCTCAGCTCTGGAGGGGGCGCAGGGCAGGCAGCCGGGGGCACGGGGAGCTCCTGGATGTGTAGAGGAGATTCCTTCTGTAAGGAAAGAGCCATTCCAGGTTTAACAGCCACCCTGGGCAGCGGAGGGACAGCCCTACCGCCCGCTGCTACAACCGCTCCGCTGCAGCTGGAGGGCTGACAGGCCACTTCACACCCAGCACAGCAAAGCAAGGAGGTGGCACCACACGTACATCTCTGCAACGGCTTTAAACTTGCAAACTTTTCTTTTTTTTTTACTTTATTTGAGATGTTGCATACTAAATCCTGTTGGCCTAGGGACAGTTAGGTTAGACTAAACCCACTGACTTGGAAGCTCTTTTGTATGGCAATTAATATTTACTGCTAAGCTAAGGCACGAGATACAGACCTAGAAACTGAAATAGACACAAGCTCTCCCTTCATAGCACTAAATACCCCGGGGAGGGACGTCTTGCTCTTCTGAAATCTAATTCCACAGATGCTTCCCATCTGACACGCCCGTTCACTCTACGATTTAGCTGCAAACTCTCTAAATTTGACAAGTTTCTTTTAGTGTCACGTAACATACTAAGGACTAACTCCTACGCAGATTTTGATGTCGAGGTTGCATGTTGCTTTTATGTGTATTTAATCACACAAATTGTTTTGCACACTTATTTGTAATATGTTATTTCTTTTAAATAAAAGTGACTAATTTTGCTGTATTCACTGGTGATCACCGCCCAGAGTCCTACTGCCATGGGTTTTGGGGAGGAACTTACCTGAGGAAACAGTGTTGGTGGCTGAAGGCCAGAGACTGAATGGTCTCACACAGGAGGGGACTCTGCTCGTTACAGCCCGGGAGGTGTAGGTTGGTATTTACACCAAAACAAGTCCCATTTCCAGTGCAAACCAGCTCTTGTTCAGCAGCAGCAGTCGGCTGCGCTCCCTTTAAATAGCAAGGAAACTACTTTAACTAAAACACTAAGCTTTCTGCACAGCGTTTGGAAGGTTTTACGTATCTTAATCTGCTAAATCACCCTCCTCCCCACTGAAGTTATCCTTGAGTTGACCAGCCAGATCACAGCATATTTCTCAATTAAAATTCTACTGAACTTGTAAAACTTCCCCTAAAAAGTGGCTCTAGTGTGACACTAAGAATGAAAATAACAATAATGATGTTCATTATATTCCTAGTTGTGCTAAGAATGAAAATAACACTAACTACCCCTGCAGCCACCAGTCTGTGCTAATGGTGGCATCCATTAATACACACCTAAATATATTTAGTCTCAAATTCCTTATTTTACTACTTGTGCATCTTTAAGTACACGGGCTTTTTTACAGAAATTAGGTAAATGAATGACTCTTCCCAGCTGGTGCTGGCTCTAGGTTGCTCTGCCAGGGCTCCATCACGTCCCCTCCTGCTGTACTGCTTCACGGAGGTAATTTTAATCAAAATTTGGGTTAAGTGGGATAGTGGATAAATACAACTCCACAATCAAATGGAACCGGATTTTAGTCAAGTCATTTTTTGGGAAAATAAACAGTAAATGTTTTTCTAGCCCACGTACTTAGGTAAATGAATGACTCTTCCCAGCTGGTGCTGGCTCTAGGTTGCTCTGCCAGGGCTCCATCACGTCCCCTCCTGCTGTACTGCTTCACAGAGGTAATTTTAACCAAAATTGGGGTTAAGTGGGATAGTGGATAAATACATCTCCACAATCAAATGGAACCGGATTTTAGTCAAGTCATTTTTTGGGAAAATAAACAGTAAATGTTTTTCTAGCCCATGTACCCACCGTGTTGGTTTATTTAGGAGGCTGCTGTGTCCGGGCGAGCAGCAGTAACGCTCCCCACACTTTGGGCCTCACACGAAGGCCCGGCTCCTCCTGGGCAGGACGGGGAAGAACCGCTTGGCTCCGAGCGGCGTCGCGCTCACCACGGCGAGGGTTCGGAGCCCTGGAAACCCACCAGTCCCCCAGTGCAAAATTTGCACAGTAGGTCTAAAATATGACTATTCCTGAAAAGCAATGTATTTCCAGCAGCATCAGCTATGTAAGTTACGGATTATTAACTTCTATTGTATTTAAAAATAACTAAACACCTTCTCTCCCCCTATTTTACCATCTCTTTCCGCAGCGCTTGTGTCACAGTTCAAAATCCTGAAAGGAAAACTCAAAGATTAGTCGCAGGGCAATGAATCCAATCTTAATTCCAGGTGTTCGCCAGGAGGAGCAACAGAACTCGCTGTATTTCTTTCAGAACCTTTAAGTATTCACATTAAAGTAGAAAACACAAGATTAATCAGTAAAATTAGAAAATAGGAGACCCAAGACTAGTTCTTCCATGTGTGGGCCAACAGGGACCGAAACACAGAGGCTACGGAACAACTGACACTTCGGAAAGACAGCCCTGTTTTGGGGTCACACACAGTGAATCCCCCTCTGTCTTAACAACCCCTTTCAATACAGCCATTTTTCTGCAGGGTTTGGTTGGTTTTTTTTCTTCTTTCCCAAAGGTTGTATTTGTTTAAACAAGCCAATGCCTCCGGTCTGGTCTGTAAGAGATCCTGTGGAATCCCACACAATAGTCCATTCTTTCTGGTAAAGGAACAGGTTACGCTCTTTCAGCTTCAAACACTCCAGCCCCGTACAGCAGCGTCGCACCCGCCTCTGATTTCTCCCCCACTCTTGGAAGCATCGCCATGAAAACCAGAGCCAGCATCCTCACAAGTTTTCCTAGGACTTTAGACAAAAGCAGTTCTCCAACTCTGATCAAAAACACAAGGAACAAAACTAACACATCAAAAAAAGGATCAGAAACCAAACCACCATTAATGACAATTATTCCAGAAAGTGCACATCTCATTAAACTTATAACAAAAATACTGCTCTGTTAGTGCTGCAGTCTGTGCTAAGGCAATACATTTGTGGCCAATGGGTGTTTAAAATCAAATCAGTGAACTAATGCAATCGCTGGTAACACACCTGAAATCAGCCCCAAATACCAACACAACTTCTAGAAGAACAAAACTCTCTGATACAAAAAATAATTCTTAAGTCAAAAGTCTGGCTTGATTCATAGTTAGGAAAGAAAACAAGTAGAAGCAGGAGTAAATCTTGTTTTCAGCTGCCAGTCCACGAGTAAGACCAAGAGGAACCCGATGGTTAAAAGCAGCCCAGGTACTTACTGACTTCAGACATTGCCTTTATCAATCCATCTTGTGTCAGACACACTGTAGGATTCTTAGTAAAAATGTTAAACTACATAGTTAAGACGTGTATAGAAAGGGCTCAATGAGGTTAGTAGAAAGCAGCACTCCATTTAGTGTGATTATACATATATAAAAAAATTATGTATTTTTAGATAAGTATCTATCACACACGCAGATATACATATATAAAAAAATCCCATGCTATATAAAACCACAACTCAACCTGTATTAATGACTACCAACTCCTCAAAATTTACCTTTTGGGGGAAAAATTAAATCAAGATACAAAACATAGATCTGAACACAGACTGCTGAAACTTCAAGTTCCATTTTTGGATTTAAGTAATGAACTTTTTAAAATGAAGTCATATTGTAACAACCATGCAAGCAAAGGCAAAGGCCTCCCAGTTTTGCCTCCTGCACAGCAACCTGTGCCGCCGAGTGGTGTGTGAAGCAGAACTGCTTTTGTATCTTTGGGGATTAGCACGGCACAGGTACAACTAAAAATGGCATCATTGGGGTCAAGATGTTACACCGTGGGCAGGGGGAGGCAGCAGCTCAGAACAGACCATCAAGAGGAATGAGACTTTCATGCCGCTCCATCCCCAGTCCCCCCTGCTCTGAGACTCCTGGTTTTGCTGGCTGACTCCATACCCTACAGCTGCTCTCACACTGGCTGGCAGGAGGGCAGGGCTCTCCTGTCCACCCCCCCCCCGGGGGCCGTGCTGCGCCTTCCCGAGCCTGTGGGGACACAGGGACACTGCCACAGCAGCGGGATCAAACCCAAAGCTGGGGTGAGGGCAGGGAGAGGGATCTCATGCAAGGACAGAACACGCTGGCAGAGATGAACGCTTCCATCACCAGAAGCAAACACACGCTTAGGTCTTCCATGTGTTCGAATTCGGAGTCTTTTTCAAAGTCATTCTCAACTTTACCCAAAAGCAGGCTCTTAACAGAGAGAACAGCAAACAGGCAGCCTAGGGGTACAAAAGGAAATAACGCCACGCATCATAAAACACAAAAGGTCACCAGAAAGCTTCCATCGGTTCCTAAAGAGAGGTCAAATCTGTAGGTACATGGATCACCTGGAGACACTTTCCATTTGCAGAAGAAAGACGACATTGACCGCGGGAGTCCAGGATGATGGGCACCGAAGGCCAAGGTAAGAAAGGTCAGGAGCACCACCTCAGAAGCAGCCACGTGACAGGAGCCTCGTTCAGCCTCTGCTGTCACAAGTGGGGGCACAGAAATACACAGACAGACCAGGGAGCAGCTCTGGTTCAACAGCCCCACGACTCACTTCAGTAAAGCCCAACACGTGAGACTGAGGAGTCTCCACCAGTCAGAAGCCATGGAGACCATCCTGTACCAGCATCCTTCTGCATGGCTGCAAGCACGGGTACCCACACAGTATTTTTAAGACCATAAGCAGTTTTCTCACATCACACAGCTTTTTCCAAAGGGTTTCTCCATCTGAAGGAAGGTGTGTTCTTGTGCTGAATTCCACACGTGCCAAACAGAGTAGAACATCACCACGGTACGGCATCGGGACCCGGGCCACGTTCCCTGCGGCACGGCCAACGTCAACTGGATTGATCACCCCAAAAACGTACATAAATATTTCAAACACGCTTGTGGAGTAATTTCAACTTAGTTAATTTGCTGAATAAAATTTAATTTTATTTAAAAAATCTTATACACTATTATTCACCTAGCCCTAGTTGTGAACAGATTCTCACTTCTGAAAATAAACCACATTCTAGTCAATTCATTCAACACCAAATTAAATTACTAGTACTGGATTTTTTTTTTCTTAAAAAAAGTATGTTAAAACTTTACTTTTTTTATTTTTAAAACCTCTAAAGAAAACGTTGCAATTTTACAGAAATGTTTCTTTTCAGGTTATGCTTTTTTTTTTTAAATGCCTGTTATAAATTCAGCTTGTGTAGAGTTTTTTTCATAGTTTTTTAATATGTATTATCTGCAGAGACATTGTAACAGTTCCATTTTGTGGATAAACACAAAACTTGTACAGATTTCTCGTATTTGGTCTTTAGGTAAATAGTTCCCAAAAGCTGCCTAAATAAACCACTCCAAACTGTTCAGTCCATCATGAAAAGTACAGTTTTTCCTTTCGTAGTGGGAAAGGAAATATAAATAATGCATCATTATTACAGAAAATGACAAAAATCAGATTCAAATTAAGCCAACTATCTAGCTTTCACTCACCTTACTGCATGAGGAAATAAGACATTATGTGAATTAAAGACTGAACAGCAGCCTTACGTTTAAATTTAATTTTGAAATGTAAAGTGGAATCTATTACCACAATTAAAGTGAGAAATTACCAATACATTTTAAAATGTTCAACTGCAGAACACACACTTAAAAAAAAAAAAATTATTATAATAATACGGTAGCCACTGTTAGAAAACCACAACAGCTACTCTTAATGGAGACCCCAGGAGGTCAGTGTATGACATCAAAAGTGTTATGGAGAAACTGGTC